GTTGTTGTTGTTTGCCGTGGAGTCAGCCCTGACTCATAGCGACCCCTCCTTGGGTTTCCGAGGCAGTATCACTACGGAAGTAGGATTGCCCAACCTTCCGTCCGAGGAGTGGCTGGTGGGTTTGAACCGCCAGCCTTCTGGTGAGCAGTCAAGTGCCTTAGGCATTAGAAAAGTTAAAGCATCTTTACATTTCAAAGAGACAACACTCATGGCACTGTGCCCACCCAGGACGCCAACAGCTGAGGGCGGAACCGGAAGATTCAGAAGGGAAACTTTCGTAAGCCCAGACGGAAGAGTGCAGGACTGAAGCTCTACCTGAGCTTCCTGTTGCAAGGAGTCCACTATGGGTGGCGCCCACGTACCGGGGACTATAGGCGCTCCCACGACTCGGGCAAGCAAACGGGGACGCAGCGCTTGGCACGCTCTGGACTCAGAAGTCGCTTCTGCCCTGACAAAAAATGGCGGCTGCAGCGACGCTTGCCCACTTACAGGAACCAATGGAGGCCCGCCGCTCTGATGCCTCATGAGGGCGACGGACGCAACCACGCTGTATGATGCAACGACCAAGTAAAGAAGTCGAGGTTGCACGTTGGGGTGAATGGGCTGCCGCAGTGTTGAAGGCGATGTCCTTGGAAGTGACCAGGGTGACTGCAGGGATGGTGCTAGGTGAGTGAGTTTTGGGGCCCTGGGTGTTTGTAAGTGTTGCGGTGCTCCTTTCCTGCCAGGAGCCTTGTGCGTCTTGTTCTCACCGATACCAACGCTTACCTTGGTGCCGGGCAGAGGCCATTCTCCATACTTACTTGCTGAATGATTGAATGGAGGAAGGAACCTGGACCTTCGCTGGGCTTGGGACTCCGTGAGGAGGCCGGGCTGGGTTGCCGATCGCTCCAGGCCTTGCACTACTGGGAAGAATCCGGGAATTCTGTCGAGACTCGTACGTTGTGTTTCGGAGACGAGTGGAGACCCACATACGTCATTCTTAAAAGTGATCCTAAGGAAAGGACTTGACAATTCTGTCAGTTTTTGTTTTATTATGGCTATTATTTCTGCATTTGCCTTACTGTATTACTTTTAGCTAGTATTTTTACACTATGAAGGCTTTCTTAAGTATTCTCTTATTACTTAGTTATCATGACTCTTGTTAATGCTTGACGTGAAAATGCTTTGTTGAATTAAGCTCATTCAACAGCTAATGCCAATAATCTGACTGACTGCTGGATTTGCCATCAAATCCCAAAATCAAGACATAACTCAATAGTCCAGACTAGGTTAACATTTTTAATTACAACAATAATTATAATAGTTTTAATCAAATGCTTTATGGAATAATTATCAAATGCCTGGAACCACAATACAATACCACTTGTTCTGCAGAGAATTACGTACCTTGAAAAAACAGCAGTTATTTAGTAGTCCAGTTCTCTACCCTATTAGCCCTCTTTGCCAAATATCCTTATTAATTCAGCCCTGCCTTCTATGCAAAAGATCACATATTTGAAAAGTTTGCACACCCAGAAGAGTTTTACCATACTCCTTAGGTAGACATTTTCTGTCTGCCAAGTTGTTCTTTTCAGTCTTACTTTGCTCCAGTCACTTCCTCACCACAAAGATCACAGAAACAAAGACTAGGCTATGGCATGGTGAAGATGAAACAGATAGTGCCCAGTTATCTTTCAAAGAGCATCTCAAGGTCTTAACAGCCTGTCTTAAATAGATAGCCATCTAATCACCTCAAAGAAATAAGTCCATGTAGAAGAAGATATTCTTATAATAATGCTCAGTGAATCTCCATAAATTCTTAACCAAAAGTGGGGAATGACAAGGAACACTTTTCAAACTTCAAAACCAAGGTGCGTGGCACGACTAAGGCTTTTGGCTGAGCTGTAGGCCTGACCCCATGTTTGTCAGTTTGACTATTTTTCAGAAGTTACCACAGCTTGGCAGTTCTCAAAGTTTGCTTATGAGATTAGACTGCAGTAAATCTCCTCTTTTTTTTGCATGTTCCAGGAAACTTCTGACTAAACTCTGATTTGCCGGCTTCCAAAGACAACCTAATAGCTAAAATCCAACCAATAAGAATTAGCTGTAAACAACTTTTGTAACCAATCAAATGCTTGCACAGCACAAGCTGGCCCTTTGTAGTTTTATCCTATAAAATACTCCTTTGTCTCCCTGTTTTTTGAAACACTTATTTTCATTTTGAAAATACATGTTTTCCCTTCCAGGTCACTTTACTCCTTCATTAGATTGTTTTGCTTTAATTTGAACCAAAAAAGCAAACCAAACTCATTGCCATCGAGTCGGATGTAACTCATACTGACCCCTTCTTGGGTTTCCAAGGCGGTATCACTATGGAAGTAGATTGCCCAACCTTCCTTCCAAGGAGTGGCTGGTGGGTTTGAACTGCCAGACTTCTGGTTAGCAGTCAAGTGCCTTAGATTATTGTTAAAGAGGATTAGGTTATGTGTGTTATGTTAATGAGGACAGATTAGGGTGGGATGTATCACCACTTTACATAAGCCACCACTCTTACTCAAGTCACAGCCCTGATCTGATGTAAGGGGCGTTCCCCTGGGGTGTGGCCTGCATCACTTTTCACCTTAAAAAAACCAAACTCACTGCTGTGGAATCTGACTTATAGTGACCCCTCCTTCGGTTTTAGAGGCAGTATCACTACAGAAATAGATTGCCCAATCCTCCTTCCAAGGAGTGGCTGGTGGGTTTGAACTGCCAGCCTTCTGGTTATCCGGCAAGTGCCTTAGGCACCATGCTGCCAGAGCTCCCACGTTTTATCTTACAAGAGATGAAAACAGAAGCCAGCAGAGAGCCAGACCTCATTACCATCAAGAAAGAAGAGGTGGAGCAGAGTGTGCCCCTTGGACCCAGGGTCCCTGCACTGAGAACCTTCTAGACCCAGGGGAAGACTGATGCCAAGACACATGGAAATCTCCAAGGAATGCCAGGCAAGCAGCTGTTGAAGGACCTTCCCTCAGAGCTGACAGACACAGGCCTTGCCTTACAGCTGATGCCCTGAATTCAGACTCCTAGCCTCCTAAACTGTGGAGAATAAATCTGTTTGTTAAAGCTATCCACTTTTGGTATTTCTGTTATTTAAGACAGTCACTATGAATCAACTTGACAGCACTGGGTTTCTATTTTTTTGGTTTAATAGTAATCTTATTTTCTAAATAGAAAAACAGTGTTTCTCTGCTATTCATAAGGTTTTCCCTGGCCAATTCTTTGAGAAGTGGATGGCCTCTTCTTCCTAGTCTGTCTCAGTCTGCAAGCTGGACTGATACCTATGTACCATATGCACCCCACTGGGCTTGAAACATCAGTGGCACAGCCTCAAGACTCAGAGGCACATGTCACCAGAGTAAGACAAACCGACAGACAAGTTTGTCTCCTTTAGCTGTTGGAAACTTCTCCAACCTCTCCTGGATCCCTGCAGCCGACTCCTCGTTCTGTCCTGGTCACCCTACCCTTTAGACTCTCCTTTCCCCTGCCTTCCCACCTTGCTGCTTGTGGGACATGGCCTGGGTTCCCTCTCCTCACCTGGATTCCCTGCAGCTCGAGTGGACAAAGCCAATTACTATGGTGAAATGTGCAAAGACCTGGAGTTAGGAAACCAAAAGGGAAGAACACATTAGGCATTTCTCAAGCTGAAAGAATTGAGGAAAGAATTTAAGCCTCAAGTTGCAATATTGAAAGATTCTATGGGCAAAATATTGAATGACGCAGGAAACATCAAAAGAAGATGGAAGGAGTACACAGTCACTGTACCAAAAAGAACTGGTAGATCTTCATCCATTTCAGGAGGTGGCATATGATCAAAAACCAATGAATGGTATTGAAGGAGTAACTTGAAGCTACAATGAAGGAATTGGCGAAGAACAAGGCTCCAGGAATTGACGGAATACCCATTGAGATATTTCAACAAATGGATGCCCCACTGGACGCACTCACTCGGTTATGCCAAGAGATTTGGAAGACAGCTACTTGGCCAAATGACTGGAAGAGATCCATATTTGTACCCATTCCAAAGAAAAGTAATCCCACAGAATGTGGAAATTATCAAACAATATCATTAATATCTCATGCATCTTACTGAAGATAATTAAAAAGTAGTTGCAGCAGTGCATTGACAGAGAACTTCCAGAAGTGCAGGCTGGATTCAGAAGAGGACATGGAATAAGGGATATCATAGCTGCTGTCAGATGGATCTTAGCTCAAGGCAAGATGTTTACTAGTTCTATTGACTATGCAAAGGTATTTGATTGGATCATGACAAATTCTGGATAACATTGAGAAAAATGGGAATTCCTGAACACTTGATTATACTCATGAGGAACCTGTACATTGGCCAGGAGGCTGTTTGAACAGAATGAGGGGACACTACATGGTTTAAAATCAAGAAAGGAGTGCATCAGGGTTGTATCCTTTCCCCATACTTTTTCAATCTATATGCTGAGCAAATAATCCGAGAAGCTGGACTGTGTGAAGAAAAACGTGGCATCAGAATTGGAGGAAGAATCATTAGCAACCTGAGATATGTTGATGATACAACTTGGTTTGCTGAAAGTGAGGATGACTTGAGGCACTTACTGATGAAGATTGAAGAATATAGTTGGCAGTATGGATTATGTCTCAATATAATGAAACAAAAATCCTCACAATTGGACCAATAAGCAGCAGCATGATAAATGGAGAAAAGATTGAGGTTGTCAAAGAATTCACATTGTTTGGTTCTACAATCGATGCCAATGGAAACAGCAGTCAGGACATTAGACTATGTGTAGCACTGGGCAGGTCAGCCGTGAAGGAACTCTTTCAAGTGGTGAAGAGCACGGATGTCTCCTTGAGGACTAAGGTGCGCCTGACACAAGCCATGATATTTTCAATTGCCTCGTGTGCATGTGAGAGCTGGACAATGAATAGGGAAGACCAAGAAGAGTTGATGGTTTTGAGTTGTGGTGCTGGCGAAGAATGCTGAAAGTACCATGGACTGGTAAAAGAACTAACAGATCTGTCCAGGAGGAATTGCAGCCAAAATACTCCTTGGAAGCGAAAATGGCCAGACTTCGTCTCACCTACTTTGGTCATGTTGTCAGAGGGGACCATTCCCTGGAGAAGGATATCATGCTTGGTAAGGTGGAGGGTCAATGAAAGAGGGGAACGCCTTCAATGAGATGGATTGACACGGTGGCTGTGACGATGGGCTCATGTATAGCAAGGATCATGGAGCTGGCGCAGGATCAGGCGGTGTTTCGTTCTGCTGTTCATGGGGTCGCTATGAGTCGGAAATGACTTGATGGCACTTAACAACAACAACATGAAAAATGTAATCAGTGTTCCTGAGCTGTAAACATGAAAGTGTTAGGTTGGCAGATGTCTTGTTGTATATATTTTCACCACAATAAAAGTGAAAATATATGTGTGTGTGTGTGTTGTTTTCCTCTTTTTGTAGATAAAGAAATAAGCTCAGAAAGGTTAAGTAAATTCCTCCAGCTCGCCTGGGCACAGCATCCAAATCTACATCTGCCTGACTCCAAGGTCTTTGCTTGATTGTTGGGGACTCACGTAGTTAGAAGCAGGATCACAAATGACAGTGATGAAAGTTCAATTTGAAAAGCTAACTCTGAAACTAGCCTCCTTTTATGAGATGGCTTATCATTGAAATAGGGGAGTGGGAAAATAATTGATTTCCTTTCCTTTGGCCTGTGGTAGGTTTTACTAATCAGATACTATGTCTGATACAAAGACAGAAAATGGTGTTGAGTATGTGGTGATTGATAGGTACTGGCTAAACAAATAACTTACTCTCATTTTTTTTCAAACAGGAGAGCTGTATGTCTCAGATCGAGAGGGCAATGATGCTACAGGCGATGGGACGAAAGAGAAACCTTTTAAAACAGGTCTAAAGGTAGAGTCTCGTCTCATTAGGAAAACGACATTTATCACTTAATGACTTATGTCTAAAGGCATACCTCGTTTTATTGTGCTTTGCTGTTATTTTGTCTTTTTACGAATAGAAGTCTGTCGGTGCATGTGCTCACTTTGTTTCTCTTGTCACATTTTGGTAATTCTCAAAATACATCCAACTTTTTCACTGGACCTTAATGTCAGACCTTTATAGATCACAATATAGTATAAACATAAGTTTTATATGCACTGGAAAACCAAAAATATGGTGTGACTTGTTTTATCGCAATATTCGCTTTATTGTGGTGTTCTGGGACCAAACCCACAATATCTCCAAGGTATGCCTGTATTATTGTGACTTTTCAGATATTTTATTTCACACGCTAGATTTGAAATAATTTTCGGAAAAGGGAGTGTAATAATCAGTGTATACATCTTTAAAAGTGTTAGATGTTCTAAGTCTAAACTTGTTGTTGTTGTTGTTGTGTGCCGTCGAGTCGGCCCCGACTCATAGCGACCCCTCCTTGGGTTTCCAAGGCAGTATCACTACGGAAGTAGGATTGCCCAACCTTCCTTCC